GATGGGTGGTGGTGGTGTTGCTTATGGTGGAGGAAAAACAACCCAATGAGGCACAAATGTTAATTTTACGTGAGTCATTAAGTGCAGTACGTGATGTGGATATGCTGGATCTTATGCAAAGGTCAAGATTAAACCAAGAACTTGGTGGGTTCATAGTTCAAATATCACAGTCATTTAGTGCACTGTGAACTGAGCAGTGACATTATAATAGAAGAGACACACACCCATGTCACAGTGACCATCAACATTTAGATGGCCAGCAAACAAATGTCTGAGTCACGACAGAAGCAAAATGTCGAAGGTTATACATTGCATCTCACACACAGACCGTATCCATGGTAAACTGGAATTTGTTTTCTTCAGAACAGCTGAAGCTGTCTGGTGGTACAGAGATGCTCAAAGACTTTGCTGGAATTAAACAAGGAAGAATCTGTTCTTGTGCTCACTGGACTTGGGAAGGAATCGTACACCTCATGTCTGAGGTGATGGTGTCCCCAGTGAGGATGCTTCTTGAATGTTCAGTTAGTTAGACAGGGGTTCAGGTGGGCTGTTGAGTCTATGGCCTAAATCTCATTCTCACAGGTCTACAGCTCACACTCAATACAGCCATAGAGGATCATCATGACACGTTTGCCTTGACCCAAAAGAACAGGGTGAAGGCTCTTTCAGGGACACTAACTTACTTAAGGGTAATCTGTGCTCCATCTCCTTCCACGGACTAAAATGAGGGAGAACCACGGTTTCAGAGATGCCATGTAATCCCAGGTTATTTACCTCACTGTGCTTTCCAGAGAGCAGAGGATTACAGCATCTTTCCACTCAACTTCTGTAGCAAAGATGAAATCAAGTTTGTTTGTCTGTGTGTTTCATTGTTAGGGATCTAATCTGGGGTCTTAAACCTGCGAGAAAAACAATCTACCTCTAGACGCCAAATGAAACCCTCAGTACCAGGAATGGGTTATCTCTAATTGGGTTGTTAGCCAAGGGGGCCCCATGGAAATTCCCAAACAACCCAGGATATTGCCAAGACTATTGGTTGATCTTCACAAACTGATAGTAAGTCCCTATTGCTGAAGACAACATCTACACAGCTCACTTAATAGGGGGAAGTTGAGCTGGTGCCTACCTGTGGTGACATTTTATCTGTGCACCCCAGTAAAGCTTATCCTTGGATCAGAGGGAAAAGCCAGCCACTATATTAAACATAGAGGTCAGGCAGTGGTAGCACACACCTTTAATCCTAGTATTCAGAAGGCAGAGATCCACCCAGATCTCTGTGAGTTCAAGGCCACACTGGGAACAGAGCCAGGAGTGGCACATACCTTTAATCCCAGTACTAGTTAACCATAGAGGTCTGGAGGTCTGTACAGACAGACAGGAGGTGATAAAGCTGGGCAGAAAGAGGAAGTGATGTAGCTGAGTGGAGAGGGGAAGTAAGATGGCAGAGCACAGAAAGGTATATAGGCATGAGTAGATACCTATATATCTATATACAGGAAGTAGCTCTCTCTGGAGGCTAAGGAGTTGATAGGGTGAGGTTGGCTGTGGCTTGTTCTATTTGTCTGATCTCTCAGTTTTCACCCCAATATCTGGCTCTGGGTATTTTATTTATAAGACCGTTTAGCAATTCATCTTACACCTACCCAGAGCTTTCATCCCTACTGACTAGTGTTCATGGTACTGGAAGGTACTCGGCACTCTAGTAGAGAAGAAAGGTAACCACCTCCCAGCTACAAGCCCTTCAGTCTACAATGATCATCTGCCTACAAGACATGCTGATGCAATAGTGGCACAAAAGTTGTGGGAGTAACCAACCACTATCTGCTTGGCGTTAAGACCCACTCCATGAGATGAACCCATGCCCAACAATACTCAGGTGGCCAAGAGCCCTAGACTAGATAGGCCACGGACCTAGGGGAAAACCATGTACTCCTGTTCTGCTAAGGAAGTGCAGCAACAAAATGAGTCCTAATGACATTCTGATACACTCATAGATCAATGATCATGAGAGAAGCTTCCTCCTGCAGTAGATGGGAACAAATAAAGAGGCCCACAACTGAATAATGTGCTGAGAATGAGAGACCTTCGAACACTCCATCTTAAATGGGAGGTCTCCATTAAATCCCTCCCCTCAGCGCTCAGGGAACTTTGTAGAAAAGACGGTGGAAAAGTTGAAAAAGCCAGTGGGGATGGAGAACACCAAGAAAACAAGGCCTTCTAGACACAACATGCACGTATGACCTCGTGGAGACTGAGGCAGCATGCACAGTGCTGAGAGGGGAAGTGGACACAAGCCCCATCCCTTACCCAGAAACTATCTCCAGTTGACAACTGCTCACAAAGGAAAAGTTGAGTTTTCTCCAGCAAAGTCTCACTGGGGGTACAAACCACACTTAAGGGCAGGCCCCGTGCTCAGAAGCAGATGGCCAACACAAAATTAACTCAATAGTATTTTTGGAGTGTTGTCTCATAATTCTGCATCTGTTTTTGTTTGTTTGTTTGTTTGTTTTTAACCTTACAGGTCTTTTGCTTACGTTCTATGGTTTCCCAGTTGTGTTTTTATGAGATTTCTGTGTGTGCAAGTGTGTGTGTGCATCTGCATCTCTACATGCTTCATGTGCTGTCACGTGGGCTCTATTCTTTTCTGTTTCTTTTCTCCTATTCTTTTTTGTTTTTTAGTTGCCTGTTTATTTTCTGATGACAGAATGAAAGGCTGTGGGTTTGGGTGCGGGGAGAGGTGGGAAGGGTCTGGGAAGACCTAGAGGAGGGGAAATGACCAGAATATACTATATGAAAAAATATATTTTCAATAAAAAAAGTAAAGGAAAAAAGAAGAGAAAAGTTAGTCTACCACACAACTATATGCCCAGCCACTAAAGAAGCTATGGTTTGTTTTTCTTACAAGGATTTTGTTGGTGGCATGTTTTGTTTATATGGGTGTGCTTTAAGATTAATAAATGTGATCAAACATTAACCTCAGTACAGTCTATGAATAAGATGTGATTCAATTAGGTAATTATTTAAACAAATTATCACCAAGTGAACTTTTTAGTTTCTCTGTACTCCAAAAGATGTGTTCTCCAAATGTCTTTTAGGTGGGTATATCTCCAGGTGCCATCCCAGTGCCTAGAACTTATTAGGTTTCTATAATTACTTTCTGAGTATGTAAATGTATACATATATTCATACTGATCACTACTGTGAGTTTTCTTTAGTATAGGAAAACTTAAACTTTAAACTTAAAGGTGAAAGTTATTTCAGTTTAAAACTGGGTATGGTAATTCATGCCTATAAGGCTGGAGTCTACAAGATAAGGTCAGTGTGGGCTGGCTGTACATAGTGAGTTCAAGGTTAGCCTGTCTCAAAAACTGCTGAGAATGAGAGAAATAATTTTCTTCAAGGATGAACTCCCTAATGGGTTATACAGTACAAAGTGGTCATAAAATGATATACATACAAGAAACATTAAAGGGACTGAACAGGTTATATTAATATATTTAGGCATAGAAAGATAAATAGATAGATAGATAGATAGATAGATAGATAGATAGATAGATAGATAGATAGATAGAGATAAAGAGATAGATCGAGATAGAGAGATAGAAAGGTGGGTAGATAGATATGGATTAAAATATAGATTTTAATTTTTAAAATCAACAACAAAAAATTATTTGAGTTTATAGAAAGAACAACATTATAGCCTTTATCTTGAATTGTGAGTTAATGTCTATTAATATGAAGAGAAAAGTAATTTTCCAAAACTAATTTTCATAAATATTAGATTTCCATAAAACTTTGATCTATTTGCCTACAATTTGATAAGAGTTATAGAGAGTCTTCCCAGCTTCTGCTACAGACCCGGGCTGCTCTCTACCATGGTCAGAGAAGCTTCTTTCCACAGTGGACAGCAGTCAATGGAGAGATGCAGAGCTGGTCCCAGTGCTGAGAATAAGATCCTGAGTGCTCAGCCCTAAACAGAACATCTACCTTCACCACCAAGGCTGAGGGAATGTCACAGAAGAAGAGGCAGACAGAAAGTAAGAGCCAGAGAATAGAGATGACTGCTGAGGGATGCTGCCTCAGCACATGACAGGGCTGTCTAGAGCATGACCTCACAGCAGCAGTGGTTACCTGCACAAGACCTTCACAAGGTCAAGACAGCCAAAAGACTCACAAGATCATCCTGGCACAGATGGGTAGATGATCTTCAGGAGCCACTCCATACTGAGGAGCTATTGTTCATGGATAGTTGCCAGGGGACGAAGAATCACTGTCTATGGAGGAACTGAATATTGGTAGTTTCCCATGCCTCACATCCATGCACACTGGACTTAGTGGGTTGTCATAAAATTAAAATAAACAAACAACAACAAAATCAAAGACATGAAGTTAGGAGGGGCATGTTGGGGAGATATAGGGAGAACTGGAGGGAGAGGTATGTATGATTGATTATATTTCATTGTATACATGAATCAAATCTCAAAAATAAAATAAACATAATTACAGCATATAAACATGGACTAATAAATAACTATGTAAGAAAGCATAAAGGATGTTCATATCAGATAAAGTACCATCTATTTGAATATCTGTAAAACAAAGACCTCAGGGCAAGAGTCTTACAATGTGGACTCTAATAAAATCTTTTTAAAGCTCAAAGAAACCAGTCATTCTGAGGCTTATGTTTGCTTTGATCTTGGTGGTTTGGGGCTTTGAATGTTATGGAATTCTCAATTCTAGGAAAAAATCTTCTATGGTATCTTTCATTTCATCATTTACAGAACAGCACTGAGACCAGTATTTAGCTGGTTCAATAACTGTAGAAAGGATGGCAAGCTGGCATTGCCATAGACATTCAAAATAAAATTTCCCTGTTCTTTCATAATGCTGCATATATACCTGGTAAATATTCACACTCTGGTTTACCACTATCATAAATTAGTGTGGCTACATGACAACTGGGAATCTATAAAGAAGACAACAGTCAAGACAGAACTCACCAAGCACAATGACCACAGTCTTCAGAAGGCTCATCATGGTGTCCCGGTTCCTCCTGGGTCCAGAACTATGCCGGGACATTCTCATAGTCCTCTGGCGAACATAGCCAAAGATGTGAGCATAGAGAACCACCATGACCACAAAGGTCACCAGGTTAAAAATGGCCCAGAAGACTAAGTAGGAGTCACTATAGAGGGGTGCCATGTTGGAACAATGATCAATATCACAGATACAGTTCCAGCCCACACTGGGTATGGCACCCATCACAATGGCCATGGTCCAGATGACCACGATCACCACCACCACACGCCTGTTGCTCATTCGTGTATGGAGCTGCATGCGGAAAACTGTGATGTGCCTCTCAATGGCAATAGCCAGCAGGTTGGCCACAGAGGCCGTCAGGCTGGTGTCAATGAGGCCCTGCCGGAGGAGCCATGTGCTAACAGTCAGTCTCCGAGTGTTGGGTCCTGTGTTGAACATCAGGTAGAAGTAGGCCAATCCAGCAAAGAAGTCTGCAGCAGCCAGGTTGGCCATCAAGTAATAAATAGGGAAATGGAAGCGGCGGTTGACGTAGATTGCCACCATGACCAGTAGGTTGGCCAGCATGATGAACACACAGACTGTGATCCCCAGTCCCATCACCAGCTTGCTCACCGTGTTCCATTCTGTGGCAAGATATTTCCCACTCCGGTTATAAAAGAAGGCAATAGACTCGTTGTAGAAGCACTGTGGTTCGTTCATGGCTGTGAACTGAAAAAGAAGATGAATGAATGAGTAAAAGAAACCCCGGATCCAAATTTAAAGATGGACAGACAACACAAGACTCTGATAACATTTGCAAATGAAGAACTAAAATAAAAGCAAAGAATCTGAAAATCTGACGCAGAATAATATCAACAGCTATACTGGTCACTTAGTACTCAAGATTAAAGATGGTGAGACAAATAAATGACAAGGTCTCTGCTTGGTGGTTGTGTGTCATTGCAGTTTACAAGAAAAACCACATGGCACACATACAAAAAAAAATCTTCCTTAAAAAGCCCAATACAGCCAAAAATCTTACAGAACTTTGCAATTGAAGTATTTATCCTATAGAAGTCTACTCTGCCCTGTTATTTAGTAAGCAGAGGTAATTTCTGGATATGGTATCATTGGCCAATTAGTCTGCATTTCTCGCCTCACACAGTGTTTTTGACCTGTGACAGATATTATGTAATACAAGCTCCCAGAAGGACCACCAGGCCCAACATTTCAAAGGTCATACTATGCATCAAAGACTCTTTAGTCAAAGCCAGCATGTACTGTTCAACATTCCTGTGGTTAGCACAACCCACCCCCAGGACTCTTCATCCCCAGAATAGCATCCATCTACCAATCTGTGACTCTTGAGAACTTTCTTCCCCCTTGGAAGGCTTAATGTAAGCAATTGATACCTGACACTGCTCCACAAGAAATAAAATATAATTAGTTCAGAGGACATTATATGCCTTCCAGTGTAGAATGATGCTGCTTTATAATGTGTTTACTTAATCTTTTTTTCTTTTAATCAAAGACAGTTGGAATATACTTGCATACTATTTATACTCACACTCTAGTCCAGAAAGGTTTGAGGTGGTCTAAATAGAATACAGGTAATCAATAAATAGTAGAGAAAAGTTAGAAAATAAAAGATAATGAAGACTTCAATGGGGGGATACATATCAAGTAGAAAAAGGGGGAAAAAAATCTCTTCCTGAGACCTTCAGTTCATTGGAAAGTTCTATAATTAGAAACTATTCCCTGAAGACATTTCATATTCTTCTTCCTCTTCTCGTGATGTGATTCTTAAATCACTAAGAAAATATGACAGTTTGTGTGTGAGTGTGTGTGAATGTGTGTGTGTGTGTGTGTGTGTGTGTGTGTGTGTGTGTGTGTGTATTAGGAATTAGACCTAGGACTTTTAACTGCAATTGCAGGCCTGCACATCCAGGCCCACCTTAATCAATATTTTTGATTAATTGGTCTACTAAATACCCATAGGTTGTACATGAATGTTTACAAAACACTAAATAATTTTTAAACAACAGTATGAAATGCCTGAGTAATTAGTTTTTTGACTTATGACAACAACATCCACAGTGTTTTCCCATCCCAACATTTCAAGTCACATTGCTGTCGGTGCATGTACTGTATGATTAACTCTTGGTCCCTCTCTTCATCAAAGAGATCACACTCCATGACCTTGTCTTACATCTCTTGGCATCTTCTATACAGTCCACAGTGTCTCCCTCACTCCAAATCAGAGAAATTGGCCTCTGGTGTTCCATTCCACCCCAAATCTTGCCCTTATTCTAGGTAATTCATTGACTTTTCCTGCCTGTCATTTCCTGTGGAATGACACATCCCTAACAGGCTTGAGGGCCAGCTGACCCAAAGCAGTAAAAAAGATACTTTCTGAGAGCCAACCTGGGTCTGCTTAAGGGTCTTAGCAACAGCAGCTGAGACATGATTTGGAGATGACCTGGATCAATGAGAGGCAGCCACATCACACCAGCAGATGCATATTCATCAGACTTCCCCCCCCCAGGGTGAGGTGGAGGGTATATAAGGCTTGCCTCTTCCTGAATAAACTAAGCTTGTTGTGTCTACATTCTCCCAGAGTCTGTGTTGTTGACTCTGCGCCTACTTGGCCCCCTCCCCCAAAGGGAACAACAGCACAGGACCCTGTCACAATTTCCTTGACTTCATCTCCAGTGACCTATTCCATTACAGCCCAGTTGCCCACACCCATGATCACACATACAAGACTTTTTCAACCAGCCAGAACTGCCTGCTTTTGGAAATACTTAAGACATTCTAATTACTCATCATAATTTCTCATTTTTCAATTTTTCTCATGTGATGCCTAGTACCTCTGTCTTTTGAAGGCATCCATTTTCTTGATCCTTCTATTTTTTTTTCTAATGGATTACCCTCCCTATTTTCCAGTTTCTCTTTCATCCAGCTCAGGCTCCATAGTAATTCATTTACTTCCTTTTTTGTGAACACAGGAACACAGTCTCTTCTCGAAGACCTCAAGGTGACCTAAATTCAGAACTTTCTGATTATATGAGCAACAGCTACCATGTTAATTATTTCTCTTACTGCTGTAACAAAATATCTGGCCAAAGTCAGTTAAGGATGGGAGGGTTTCTTTTTGGCTCATGATGTGAAAGTATGGTCCAGTCTATCAGGGAAATCCTGCCAGCAGAGTGTGGAGCAGCGACTGAAACACACTCAGGATGCAGAGAGTGAGGCATGCTCTACTCAGCTGGCTTTTTCCTTCATAGTTGCTCCAGGGCTCCAATCTACAGAATGTCCCAACACACACACACAGTTAGGGTAGGTCTTCTCACCTTAATTAACTCAATCTAGAAACTCCCTCACAGACTTGGCCAGACACTTGTAAACATTTCTCAAGTATACAAAGGGGTTTGTGAGCAGAGCACTTTTAAAAAGCCTGAATCTATAATTATCTCTTCATTTCAAATCTCTTAACAAAATCATTTCTAAAAAATCCCCTCTGACCACTAAGGTCACTCATTCAGAGGTCCTGTGGTTTGAGTAGTGGTTGTCTTTGGAAGCCATGATTGTACCTATCAAACAGAACACAATGAAAAATAATTTCTAAATACAAAAAACGAAGTAGAGAGAGCAGTGATGGTATATGACTTTAATCCCAGCGGGGGGGGGGGGGGGGGGGGGGGGGACAGGCAGATCTCTATGAGTTCCAGGCCAACCAGGGCTTCACAGAAAAACCCTGTCTCAAAAAAAAAAAAAATCAAAAACAAAAAACAAAGCAATAGAGAATAGAGAATTCCTAGAGAATTCCTATTCCTAGAGAATAGAAATGCCAAATAAAATAAAAGATGTAAGCTAGCCACTCAGCACGAGAGGGTCAGCAACAACAAGAAGGAAATGGAGGATTAAAACAAATACCTAGTCATTCCAAAGATTCGAGGACTGGAGTGCAGCTGGAGAGGCAGAGCCCCAAACCAGGAAAAGCCACTGAATGCAAAGACACAGTCAGTACTGATTTATGTTTACATAAATTACAAAGCAATGTTAAAAGAGGTTCAATTTTCGTATAGCTTAATGACATTTGGGAATCTCAAGGGTAAAGAAAGGTTCTAGAAACATAAAGGAAAACTAAGGAAAAAGCAAGCTCACCAAATGTCTAAGGTAGAAAGAACAGAATAACCCCAGTGTTTCTAATGTGAGAACCTTTAGAGAGATGTTCTCAACCTGTGGGTCATGACCCCTTTGGGGGGTCAAATAACCCTTTCATGGGAGGTTGTATATCAGATATCCTGCATATCAGATTTTTATATTACAATTTCCTGCCTAACAGATGTTTACATTACAATTCATAACAGTAGCAAAATTACAACATATAAAGCAACAACAAAAATAATTGTATGGTTGGGGGGTCGCTACAACATGAGGAACTGTATTAAAGGGTCACAACATTAGGAAGGTTGAGAATCACTGCTTTTGGACAAAACCCAAGGCATGAAAAACGTTGCTGTATAAGAGAAAACCTTTAGGATACTTGAACTCCACAGCGCAGATGACCTCACAGGAAACCTCCCCACAGGCTCAGGGGTTTGGACACTTGGTCTTCAGCAGGTGATGCTCTTTTGAAAGGTCATGGACTCTTTTGGATATGAGGCCTAGCTGGCTCACACAGGGCCGTAGGAGTGGAGCCAGGGAGTTGAAGGCCTGGTCAGCTTGGAGTCAGAGCTCTTTGCTTCTCTCTGACTGGCCTACTTCATGACCCTGCCAACGTGCCTTTCAGTCACGATGAACTGTGACCTCTGAACTGTGAACCAGCCCTCCCTTCCGTTGTTTCTGTCAGGAACTCTACCACAATGACAAGAAAATAACTAATAACACAAACGCCTGTGCACACGCACGCACGCACAAACACATACACAGTCAAAAACACTGGTGCCTAAAACTCCTAAGACATACGACTGTTTTCAAGTGGTCAAAAACCTAAACTTAAAAATAACTCTTGAAACCAATTACACGAGATATAATTTAATAATATCGACATAAATCTATCATTGCACCAAAAAGTACTTGCGTTGGGGGAGTGGAATGTAAATGTCTGCTTGTGGTCTCTTTTTATTGTCCAGGTACGAATCATATAAGGGAGAGGAGGAGGAGGAGGAGGAGGAGCAAGAAATCAAAATGCAGTAAACATACTATTTGAACTGTGACAGTCTGCAAAAATTACCCGAATGTGCGGAGGCAAACAGTAATTTGGGTGATTACTGAAGTAAGGTCACTTTCCACACCGAAGAAAACATGTGAGCGTTTGGTCTCCAGCTGGCTGTACTGAAGGAAATGGCAAAAGGCAAAGACTGAGATTCCCCAGTGTATCTGCAGAAGACCATAAGCAGTTTCCTTTTTACTTTGAGAAAAGAAACCAATACTTACTATTAGAATCATAGGGGCAATACGAATATGTACTCAGACAAAATTCAGTAAATACTTTTAAATGAAAGCTATCACTCTACAGTCTAAATCTTTACAACTAGAAATCCTTGTGGAGTAAGAAGCTGCCAAATGTTGCCCTGGAGAGGGAATAAATATGCAGATCAGATAAAATTATCTTTAAATGAAATGTCCCTCCACGGCAGAAAGTCTGCATTCACGCCCATCCCATCCTTCTGGGATGCACTGCTCACTGCATCCCAGAAGCCAAGCGTGGGGTGGCGGTGGGA